GAAACATGAGAGTTCACCGGGGAGGAAGATGGGGAAGGTTAAGAGGAATATTTCCGAATATTCTGTTGTTATTAAGGAATCACATCCGGGCTTCCTTTGGTAAGTCTGAAGGGGGATGCTCCTTCGTCGACTCTCGTCTCGACTTTAGTTGTCGCTCCTGTTGCTGATCTTCCTACTCCTGTTGTTTGCTCTTCTCCTGGAAAATCAAGAGGTGGTCTCGATGAAGTGCCGCTGACTGGTCCTCCTAGTCTTGATTTCTCACTGCTTCCTCTGCCGGTGGTTTCTTCTAGTGTCTTGGCAGCCAGAGATGGTGGGACTACTGATACTGTTGAGCCTTGTGGCTCGAAGAAGAAAAAGAAGAGGAAAGTGCTTACTTCTCCTGATGATCCTGATTTACTTTTGGTGATGCCTGAGGAATGTGCTAAATTTTTTCATAGCTTCCGTTTGTCGTCGAGTTATATGCCTCTTCCGGAGGATATGGTCTTTGCTCGGGAGTACGTTAAGTGGGCTTCGTTCAAGACTCAAGTAATTTTATTGTTTCTCTTCTTCTCTTTACTTTGCTGGTTGTTCCTCATCGTGAGTTTTTGCAGTCGAAGATAAATGGAAGTCATTTGGATGGGTTGTACACCAGATGTGCAGGCGTCTTTCTGATGACCTTGCGTTGAAGCGTTGTTCTCTGGCCGAAGAGAGAGAGAGATCGTCCAGTGTTTCCTTGTCTTTAAAGGCTCTGGAGGATTCGTCTTTGAGGCTTAAATCTAACAGTTGGGACCTGAGGGTCGAAGTGAATCGGTTTAAAGTCAAGCGGGATCGTCACGAGGAGGCGTTGTTGTCTCAAAAATCATCTTTGGAGGCCAAGGTGGCCTGCGTAACGGAATCCCATAAGGAGTTGGTAGAGGCGGAGAGACGTCGTGTCGAATCTGTCATGTCTGCTTGGTTTGGTGATTTCACGGAGAAGGTGAGGGGGCATTTGTCTGATCAGGATTTGGTTTGTCCTCATATCCTAGCTGAGACTCAGCTTTCAGGGGTTTTAGCTGTCCTCAAGTTGTACATTGCAGCATGGATTTCTATTCATGTGGAGAAGTTGGCTGACAGCGAGCGTGCCTTATCGGTTCAGTTTGCTGCTTTGGACCAGGTGGACGTGCACGAGTTGAATTTGAGCGACCTCATATCTTTCTCATTGGATGATGAAGAGAAAACAATCGATTGATCGTTTCGAGATTATTTTTGCTTTTTGGTCGGACCGTTGGTGGCCCTATAAACCTTGTTCGCTTTTATATGTATGTGAAAATATTCAGAGTGTTTAGGAGTTTTTTATTTTTTCTTTGAGTTGTTTTATTTTTTTTTCTTTCGATTTGTTGCGAAGAAATGAGCTGCTATACTCGTAATCATTGTTGCTCGTCATATCTTGATGCAGCAAAATCGTCTTATTTCCTTATTTCTTTTGGGGAGGTGTCCTCGTAGCGCTTTTGAGTAAAATATCGATTCTTTTATATTCGAGGAGCGGAACTTGGCCCGGCTTATCCTATGTGAGGTAGGATCAAAATAGGTAGGCGGACGTGGCTCAGCTTATAACCTATCTGACATCTAGGCGGAGGGTGGGACTCAGCCCAGCTTATCCCATGTAAGGTAGGATATATCGAGATAAGTGAGCGACCAAGCTCTGCGTGGCTTATCCGATCACCGACCCGTGCGAGTCTGGCCTCGGCTTTTATTTTTCTTCTCTCGGCAGAGGACGGGACTCGGCCCGGCTTACACTATGTAAGATAGGAACAAGATAAGCACGCGAGCAAGCTCGGCACGGCTTACCTGATCACCGACCCATGCGAGTATGGCCTCGGCTTTACTTTCGGATCTGGGTTTCCAGGCCCTTCACCGAGATCATTTCTTCTTTAGGCAGAGGGTGGGACTCGGTCTGGATTATCCCCTCTAAGTTAGGATCGAGATAAGCGCACGAGCAAGCTCGGTGTGGCATCTCCGATCACCAACCCATGCAAGTCTGGTCTCGGCTTCGCCATAGGATCGGGGTTTTCAGGCGTTTCACTGAGAGTGTTTCTTCTTTTGTTGGTATTGTGGCTGCACCCTTTTCATGGGCTGCCTATGTACCCAGGAGGGATCAAGCCATACGTAGTTCATACGAAGATAACTTTTTTCTGGAAG